ATTTTTATTATTAATATAATAATAAAATTAAAAATTAATATTAATTTTATTAATTATTTAATAAAACTCCCATGTATTCAAGTATTAAGTTATACAAATCTTTAGTTAAAAAATAAAAAAAGGGAAAAAGAAAAGATCAATTTTGTCCACTTACAAGCGAAGGTGGATATGGAGGGAAGAGAGATTGAATCGTGAAGACGAGGGAAGGTGAGGGAGTCTAGCCTTTTGTGAAATTTTTGTATAAATAGGGATGAAAGACGGTGAACAAAAGAGACTAAGAGAGGGCGTTGGCCGACAGCCACAAAAGGAGATCTTTGGGGGTTTCCATTCTCTCTTTGATTATGAGATTTTGGTGACTTTTTCGGCGTCGATTCACTCTGAGCTTGAATCTAACAGTAGAATTGGAGCCCTAATCTCTGTTTCTAGGTACGGTTACTGTGGATTTGTAATTTCTATCAAGAAATTTTAGTGAAGTTTTAACTAAATTTATATTATATTATATTGTGCTACATTAATTATGATACAGGGTTGAGTTACTTGATGATATTGAGACTTTATTTTATAATTTTTGTTTTATAATTTAAATGTAACCTATACCACAAAACATGTTGTAAATTTTAAAGTGTTGTTATTTTTGTGCAACTTTTATCTTAAAAACTGCTTATTGATTGTATTGAAGTACCAACTTAACCTGGAGTCCCTTTATTTTACTGTGCATGGGGTTTTTTTTTTTTTAATGATTATTATCTATTTGAGTAGTCCATGTATTTGGTAATGATAAATGTATTTTTTAGACTTTAATTAATATAAAAAAATAAAGTTGACATTACTTTTAATACTTATGCTATGTGGATATTTATATTAGTAAATAATTAGTAAAATTAATACATTTTTATATTTTTTTATGTATATTAGTGATAAAAAAAAAGTATAAAAAAAAAACCTTTAACTTATGCCCTATATGTATAGAACAAAAAAATTGTTTAACAAATTTTTTTTTTGAACATGGAGAATTAAGGGGGAAGGGGACCCTTAGGTCCAAAGGCCTGGTTTCGTTCAATAATTTATTTTATTTTATTTTATTCCATTAATTTTTATAATTCATGATTTTAGATAATTTAGGGTTTAAGATTTATTAGATATTTTAGGGCTTAGATTTTTTGTTTTTGTTTTTATGTTTATTTTTTGGTTTAGGGTCTGAGACATTAGGCCTTAGCTTTCTTAGAGTTAATTTTTTAGAAGGTTAGGTTTTAGATTTTATAGGATTAAGTGGATTTAGATTCTAGAATGTTAGGACTCTTGGGCCGCACCAGCACCAGCCACTACACCTTCCCAGCGTCTTCGATCTCCTTCCTGAATGACGCTGGCCTCCCCTATCCCCCTGATCGTCCTTAACAGTTGAGTTTTAGAATTGAAGGATGGACTCTGTTTTTCATATCTGAAATTACATATATTTGAGATTTTAGATTTTTTGGGCTCCACTCAAAGCCTCCATTATCCATACGCCTATGATAGTATTAGTCACTGTAGCACGACTATGTCAAATTGCGAACAATGGTTTTTATTTCATTTATTTCATTTTTTTTCTTTTTAACTTCTTTTTTATATTTTCAGATGTCTTCTTAAATAAAATATTATATAATTTAAATTATTTATTTAAAAACAAATTTTTTTAATATAGAGAACTATTATCTATCAAATAAAAATAAAAGTTTTTTATTACAATTTAAACTATAAAGTAGTAAACCTTCTAAATGTTGATAAAAAAAAAAAAAGTAAGCCTTCTAAATGTCAAGAAAAAAATGTCATTTCAAAAAAAAAAAAAAAGTGTGTACCAGTAGATGGCGGCGAACGCCGGCATTAAAGTATTTCCTAACTAACGTTGACTCCTAAAAAAGGGGCGTCTCCTAACTAACATAGGTTCAATTTGCAAACGATAAAAATCACAAGGGCCGACCTGCAAACAAACGGTAACACAAGGACGCACTTTTTCATTAATTGGTTTTGTTCTCTATATTGAATTTGAAGACTTCCGTCTCTTTCTTCTATAAAAAGAAGAAAAAAATTT